TCCCCTCAAGGCCATGGAGGCTTGGAGTATGTCCTCTCTCAGGGCACTTGCTTTGGGTGCGACCATGTACCTCCAGCCCAAGGTTTTTCTTTTAACTTTTCACCCTGACATAATTTCAGACTTAAAGAGAAGCTGAAAGAATTGTACAATGTGTTCCATACATCCTTCAACCAAATTCCTCAGATACTACATTTTGCTATCCTGTCTGTTTGTCTATTTGGCTCTATCTGTCTATCTGTCATTTATCTATCTGAGTTGCAAACATGACATATCCCTTTGCTGCTGCTATGGACTAAATGTGTATACACCCCTGAATTCATACACTGAAATCCTAACTTCCAAGGTGATGGCATCAGGAAGTGGGTCCTGTGCAAGGCATTTAGGACACAAGGGCAGCGTCTTCATGAATGGAATTAGTGGCCTTATAAAGAGACATAGCTGGCATGTGGCTTGTTGGTACAGAACTCGCCCTGTGTGCATGAGGCCCGGGAGCAAATCACCAGTACTGAGAAAAAAAAAAAAAAGATTAAAAAAAGACAAAGACATAGCTTGTTTCCTCTCTGTTCTCTGATTCCACTAGATAACTCCCTACAAACCAGGAGAGGGCCCTCGTCAGAACCTCGCCATGCTGTTACCCTGATCTTGGACCTCCAGCCTCCAGAACCGTGAGAGAAAAAAGTTTCTGTTTTTACAGCCATCCAGTCTATGTTATTTTTATTATAGCAGCTCCTACTGACTAAGAAAACTGCGAAATACTTACAAATTGTCCTAAAAACAGATCATTCTCTTCCATGACCATAGTATGTTGATCAAAACCAGAAAATCAACATTTATGTATGGTTATCTAATCTGTAAGTTTTATTCAGATAGTCTTCACTGTACTAAGAATGTTCTTTGTAGCAAAAGAAAATGTGACATCATGTGTTATGTTCACTTGTCTTATTTACCTACTTTTCTTTAATTTGGAACAGTTCAGTCTTTCTTTATTTCCCACAACGTTGATATTTTTGAGGAGTGTAGTCAGCTATGTTTTTTAAAATCAGATGTACTGCGATGTAATCAACCCATCAATCAATTCATTCTTTTTAGATATACCGTTCCCCGGCAGATTATCTTGTAGTCTGACCCTCACTTTGAGTCTCTCTTGTGTTTCCTTATAAGATGTCCTAGGATTCTCTCATCAAAATACCCTAGAAGAGATGTTGTATTTTTCTCAGTTCATAAAGCAGGGAATGTTTGTGGTTAGCATGGAACTTACTTTTCCACTGTAAAGTTTCTCCTTTGGTCTTTCCCAATTTATATGTATGTATCTTGTGGGGAGATGCTTTCAGGCTCCATGTTTTTTATTCCTCAAACTTTCACCACCAGTATTTTCATCCAGTGATGATTCTTGCCTAAAAGTTATTGATAGTTTCCAAATGGTGATTTTGTAATTTCATCATTGATTTCACATTCGGTAGTTGTCTAGCTACTTCCAGGAAGACAAATTCCCCGCAATGAATTCATTCATTGAGCATAAGCGTTTTTATTCTTATTCTCTTCATTGGATTATATTCTTTTACTATTATTGGCTTTGATTTTCAAATTTTCTCGGTTTTGGCCCTTTTGAACTTGGCCATATTTTGATGTATCTCCATTGTTTTCTGAGCTCTTCCTTACTTTCTGACACAACGAGATGTTCCAAGTTCACCTTGTACTTCCTAGAGTCAACCATTTCTCCAGAGAAGGGTGCGGATCTCCAAAGGTGTACATGTTGCTTGAAGCTATCTCAGCCTTGAGATTCTTCCCAAATTTATGGCATAATGAAGGTTTTGGATACAAAATCATTTCAGAACACTTACCTGACTCTTTTTTCCCCTCTTAATTGAATCTGAAGCAACTTACAAGGGAATTCGTATCAAAAATTTTATGAAACAAGAATTTTCAAAGGGGGAAAAATTGGTGACTAAGTGGAAGGAAAACAGATAGGCCAGCCACAAAAGTCACTGGGCTCACCCAGAAAAACTTGGCATTCAGCATTCTGGCAGCCAAAGAAAAGAAGAGCTACATAGGGAGAAGATGCACTATGCTGAGGCCACCTTCAGGGACTCTGCCCTCCTGGCAAAGGCAGAAGCCGCAGTGAGGATCTGGACTCACGGGGCCCTGTGGCAGTACATAGCCTTGGGGGACGGTGTTCCAGCCGGGCAGCAGACTGAGCTGCGGATTGAAATCAGCAGGGCCCGCATTGTTTCTTCTTGAAGGCAGTTTGTGTTCTAATTTTTAGATCAGTGCTCTGCTCAGACCCCACAGTTGGAAGGACATTGCTATTTGAGTGCTGTTCAGTCATCCATTTACCTGTTCACTCTGTCTCTCATTGAAGGCTTATGTGATTCCTCCTAGGAGAAATTCAGCTTTCAGGCTCAGGGGAGGCAAAGACTACCAGGACCCCAGCCCTGGCCAGCAAGTCCAATAACCAAAGAAGCTTGACTTGCAGGATGGATGGTATATTAGATTATGTGTCAAATGTACTTTTGGGGGGAGCTATGGGAATTGAGAGGCAACTACGAGGTATCTCTTCTTCCCTTGAATGTTTCTTGAAGGAGCAGTATTTTATAGAAACAGGGCAGTTCAGATCTGCACAAATGCCTTGTGGAGAAACAAGTAAAAATACGCAACGAATGGAGTTGTCCCCATGTGAACACACATCTTATAATTCTTTTGCTTATTCATTTAGTCAATGAATATTTATTGACTTATTCTGTTCTTCACTGTGGTTGACCCTGAATGAGCAAAAATGCACCCAGTTGTTGCCCTCATACTGCTTGAGATCTAGTGGGAAAGTAAAATTAAAACACATGGATTATTAAAGACTGCTTTAGGTGCTGTCCTGAGAGGTACCCAGCTCTCCCTGAGTAGGAGGTTAGGGAAGCAGGCTGTGAGGAAGGGATGATTAATCTGAGAATGGGAGGATGGGTCGGGGTCGCTAGCAGTCCAGGTGGAAGGAACTGTGTGTGCCCAACCTTAGAGGATTTTGTCCCCAAAGCGCAGCCGACTAATGTGGCTGGGGGGAGAAAGTAGGAGTCCGGAGAGGTAGACAGCAAAGGGCACAAGTCCATGGCAAGCATTCTCCCAGAAGGACCAAGAGGGGCCGGGAAGATTAAGGTGATTAGGCCAAAAGAGCCGGGGTACAAGGGGTAGACCGTTATATATGTCGGGGTATTAGGCTAGAGCAGTACTTTTAAGAGATGAAGGAAGAGGTAGGAGATTAAGGTGTGAAATGATGGGAACACTAGTCACAACCATAAAAACCGCATCTCCGTCTTGTAGGGCCCCATTTTACCCAGACCTTGTTGACAGAAGACGAGATAAAGGGAGGGGAAGGTCAGGATCCCTTCAAACTGAGCTGAACTTACCAGTTTCATCTCTTACCCTGTCCTGTAGAAATGCTCTTGTGCCTGAGTAGATCCGCTTGGGGATGTTCGCCGCAGCAGCAAGGACTGCAGTAAACAGTTGGAGGCACATAAATGTGGGTCCATGTGGAGGAGTCAGTAGTCTGTGGCACACCCTTACTTGAGTAGGTGCAGTGATGGAGAAGCAGAAAGCTCTGTGAGCTGACGTGGAAGCTCAGGAAGTCAGTGTTGGGGAGAAAACCCTAGGCAGGATAATGCATCACGATGCTGTCATTGCCATAATGGGGAAAACGCGGTCTTCAGAAAACACCGTCCTAAGCCCTTGTGAGAACATATTGAGTACTCAAATGCCCAGAAAAATGTGTGGAAGGCTTTAGAGTAAACTGTAAGCTGAGGGAAGAGTCCTTGGGTTAAGGGAGGGTTTGGGGGAACATTGGCTTTATCTGTACTGTCTTAATTTGATTATAGAAACTTTCAAACATTTACAAAAATAGGACACTCTTATAAATCCCCAAGTGCTGACACCCACACACTCCCTCTTCCTGGACTATTTTTAAGCACATCCATGACATTGCATTCCATTCATAAATATTTCAGCAAATCTCTCTAACAGATAAGAGCCCTGTAAGGAAAACATAACCACAACACCATGTTTATATAAAAACATATATAAAAGTTCTTGAAAATTATCAGACGCCCAATCGTTTACATTTCTGTTTTCAGTTTACAGTTCCTTCAAAGCTGGATCTAATAAGATTTATGCATTGCAACTGGTTGATATACTTCATGACTTTTTGTACATTTTGGCTAGTTTACCTCTGGGATGGGTCACCACCTGTGACTTCGCTGTGTCAAAGGATAGGGGGCATGTGTCATTTTTCTAGATGCTATCGCAATCCTCTCCCTACGGTCGTAGCATTTTGCATCGCCACTGGCAGAGGGCGAGAAAGCCCATTTCCCCACAGCCTCACCAGCAGACTGTATTGTAAAGCTTTAGGATTTTTGCCAATCTGGTAGATGAAGGGGATGGATTGTTGTAGTTTTCATTTTAAAAAATATTTCAGAAGAAAATGGTCTTGGGGAGAATTATGAGCCTGTAGAGGACGAGAACAATTTGCGTTGAAATAATAATATTGCCAACTACCATTTAGCATATATTTTGTTTTACTTAATCCTCAGTCAGTCCTACAAGAAAGTGTCTTCATCACTTTCCTGTCCCTGGGACAAAATACCACTCACATCTTAGAGGAGCAGAGGTTTAATTTGGCTCATAGTTTGGGGGAATCAGTCCATGACTGGCTGGATCCAAGGTACAAACAGCACGGTGGGAGGGCGTGGCGAGGGAAAGCTGCTCAGCCAAGAATGCATCCTTCCAGGCCACACCCCCCGCCGCCTACCTCTCCTCCCCAGTCCTGCCTCCCAACACCGGTGCAGCTGTGCACTCATGGCGGATGAGCTCCCCTGATGAACCCATATGCGCCCCGGGGTCCGGCCTCCTTCCTCAAGCTCCGCCTCTGACCACAGGAAACTTTTGGGGAACATTTGAGACCTAAACCATAATAGGTGGCATTATTTCATCTTTTAAAGACAGGAAACCGAGGATCAGGAAGGGTGAGTACAGGTGTCTGGGGCCTCACAGTAAGGAGGTAGAGTTCGAACGTGAGCCTTTAAGTCTGCTCGGGAACTGCTTCCGGGTGCCCTGCCAGTGTGAGCTGCCCAACCTGCAAGAACAGCATGGACCTCGAGTGCTCCCTAGTGCTTCTTTCCTGCTTGGAGCCAACTTCCGGACCACTGGCAGTCAGTCATTGGTACCAGTGGTTCAAGGGCAAAGGGAGGGACATCACAGGCCATTACTGGATGGCAGGTGCTGGTCCCATGACAGCCTGAGGATCCAGTGACCAAGGTCAAAGCCAAGTAGTGCACAGCCTTGGCACCCTTGGAAGCCAGTTTGTCAGGACTTGTGCCTGTAAACCACTGTAGTATGTAACTCGGAACTGCTGCTTTTATATTAGAAAGACATATATCTCTCCCTTTAATTTTCTTGAAGAAGAGATGAAATGAAGATTTTTTAAAAATGGGCTCCAGAAGCATGCGTCCATCAAATCCAAACTTCTGAGTGTCTTTTTGTCAAGTATCTTTTGATTGCTGAAATCTTGTGTGACACATTTTCACGGCCACATAAAATGTCTGGTTTTAGCTATACAGCATTACTCCACTGATTATGGCAACTCTTAGGCTGGCCTTTTGGCAGAGTAGGGAGCTGAGGCACGTGTCATCTCAGGGTCCCTCAAAGCGCCGGACCCTTCTAGCTGGGGTCCAGACCTGACAGTGGTTGGCCCAGTCCCTTTAGGGACTGTTAGCCTGGATCCTGCCCAAAATGGACTTTTGTCAAAGCCTGAATATTAGAGGAAGAAGGACCTTACTTGCTTCCTGTCAGTGGGGCCAGGGATGGACTGACCCAGTGTGGTTTGTTGTTTGGATTTTGTGGAGGGCAGGAACTCCATTTTGTCCTTCTCCTGTCCTCTACTCCCCAGTGTCAGGGGATACAAGGGGGTCACTGCCGAAGTTGGCTCTCAGGTACCGAGTGGAGGAGACATGCATTGGAGTGATTCAAAATGAAAGGGAGGTGCAAATCACGTCCTTTCCCACCAGTGCATTTGTGTGTACACATACACACGTACACACACACCCCAGTGCAAAGACCCTGACTGAGCCTTCGGCGAGTACATTTGAGCACTGCTCTGTGTTGCCACTTCACAGCTGGATGCTTTGGGACAAGTCCATTTTTCATTTTCTTTTGCTTTTTTCTGAGCTGTATTCCAAGTCCTTTTAAAAATTGTTTTTAAGATTTTGAGACAGGGTCTCACTAAGTTGTTAAACTGCCCGTGTTGAGTTTAAACTTGCAGTCCTCTTGCTGCACCTTCCCAGAGTCCTGGGGTTACAGGTGCACACCCCCACGCTCAGACCCCCTAGGAAATGATCCATCCAGTGTGGGTAGAGAAGGGCCTGATGCTATGGGTAGGACAATGCCTGGCGTGCAGTAGGTGCTCGGGAAACATGGATAGAATCTAACCCCGTAAACTCCATTGAGTGCTGGCGGTAAAGAGATTGTATGGATCACTGTGGGCCTCCTGTTCGCTGTCCTCAGGGGAAGCCAGTGAGGAGGAAGACTGTGCCTTGCTTTGGTTACCAGCAGGGCTGCAACTCAGCCTTTGGACCCCATTCAGGCCCTCATTACCACACTGGGCCAGCCGGACGTGGTGGTGCAGGCCTATAATCCCAGCACTCAGGAAGCTGAGGCAGGAGGATCGCTGTGAGTTCAAGACCAGCCTGGGCTACATAGTGAGTTCCAGGTCAGTCTCAACTACGTAGTGAGACCCTGTCTCAAAAAACCAAAATCCAAACAACAAACCGCACTGGGCCAGTCCATCCGTGGCCCCACTGACATGTATGGGCTCCTGTGTGATACTCTCTTCTTGGTTTGCCTTTGTGGGGTCTGAGGTTTTGTTCACTACCTGCTTCCTACCACTCCTGAATGTCTTCAAAGATTAAGCTCAGGTGGTAAAGAGCGGTGAGGTCAGTTTGGTAGCAAACTCTCAATCCCTCCAAGCATCTCTTCCCGAACAAAAATTCAGCAGCAAAAACCTCTACTACCCTCCCTCCCTTGTCCTAAAAACCTGGGCTCTTCCCTTTCCAAGGGCTCTAGGAGAAAGAGCTGGAGAATTACTCTGGGCTTTGGCAGAACTTCAGAATTTTTTTCCCCTCCCCAGTTGAAGCTCAATAACTCTTGAGATCCAAATTTAGCAGCTTGTATGGAGAGCCCTGAGAAATCAGTAGTAAGACAGCCAGGCTTTCTAACTCTTTTTTTTTTTTTTTCCCCGAGCAAGCTAATAAAGCTATTGTACAGCCATTTCCCAAGGTCAATTTTCAGCTTTTAATAGTTTTAATGAACTGTTTAAAAAGGCTCCTCAACTTGTGCTCAACCAAGCTCGTGCATGTTTGGGTGTAGGGAGAGGAAGAGAGGAAGGAAGAAAGGGTAGGCAGGAGAGCCGGGT